GATAGGAGAAAATACCTTCAGAATGTGTCCTGAGTGTAAATGATGCAGCGATGTTGGGCTGAGTTTGCAGAGAGCCTGAAACAATAACACTGAGACATGACCTGCCCCATTAATTTCAGTGGATTCTAACTCCGATGCCTAAGTGACGCTTCAGATCAGCATTTCCCAGAGATCCTAACTGCAGGGACGTAAAATGAATGCTGTCTCAGTTATAAGCATAGTATTGCTACTATAAACCACAGGAGGGGCTCTAACTTGGAAGGAATTGGTACTATGTATATTGTTGCACATGGAAACATTTCTTGGTACATCAAGAGGATACCACATGAGATGGACTTTGTTAGGGGGCTTATTCCTTCACCCTCTCACTTCCCTGGTCCTTCTTGCATGAACAGAGAGCAACAATACCCGAAATCCAAAGGCGCAAACAATTCGATGTTTATTGGGGTGAACTTCCAGCAAGCATGATTCCAGTTTCCTTCCTCAGTGTCCCCCTTCCCAGCTCTGACACCACAGAGCCATCCCTGTTCCCATTCCCTGATCCCATTCCCCCCTTAGCAAAACATGATTCCAATTCCCCCACCCCCATTCCTTGTTCCCATTCCCCCCTCCTACTTCCTGATTGACTGCAGACTATATAGTAAAACTTGAGTTCTGCTTAGCTATACCTTAACCAATCATTTTACTGAAATTTAACTAACCAGTCCTAACATACTGGAACATGGTTATTTAACCAATTATATCCCACCACCTTAATTGGTTTATACTCAACAAAATTAATTATACAGCAGACAGAAACAATCACAGAACCAGACAGAGATTATACAGACAAACAATAGGGAAGTGGAGACTACAGTGATGGAACAATACAGAAATGAGGATTTCACATCCCAGCTATTGATAAGTGAGTTCTTGCCAGACAGGATGCTATCAAACTAAGTTTCCTTTTACATCTTCTAGGCTCTTCCCTGTCTCTGGAGGTGATAGGAATACAATCCTGTCCTGATATTCCTAACAGCCCAATAGCACCTTATTTCAATGTGACTAGTTTGGAATGTGAGGATGTGACCGTTCACTTCTCAGCTTATGGCTGCCTCTGCTGCTTAGCCAAAGGCCTTACTTAGCCTAAGAGCAGAGCCTCAGACTGTCCCTTACACCGGCAGACCGTGATTTTGATTCTTTCTTTTATACCTCTATAACTAGCTAAGTGATAAGAATACACCTAAATTCTTAAAGTATAGGCCTTTATAGACAGGCCTGAATATCTATATCCTAACAGACTTGGCACAGTAAGGCTGCTTCTGCCAGTTTAAGGCAAAAGAACCTCTCTGCAATTCTTTCTCTCTTCTTAAGAGGGACTCCTCTTGCTGAATTGAAAAATCATTGTGCCAGCTGAACCTTGAGAGTGCCAATGCATCTGGCACTTTAATGGGCACTTCCCCCTTGCACGTCTCGGCTGCAATTGAGAAGGTTTAGAGATGCCAAGGCTTTCTGTTCTTTAAGGGGTAGTTCATCCTAGTGAATCTGGAGGATACTACATATAGAGGAGCCTTGAAAATGTTATGTTTAAGTGTATTAAACCCTTTTCCTTAGTATATTATTGGTAGGTCTGGGGTGAGTGTCTCCTCTTTCACCCGAAAGACCTGTGATTGGAAATGGAAGAAGCATTTGGTGTGCTGAGCTCAGACTCTTGTGGATCTCTTTAAATACCTCATAAGGGGCCTACATTGCTTGTCCAGTTGAACGCAATCCAAAGGCAGATTCTACTCCATTGTAAAAGGACAAAATGGTCAACAAGTGAACCTGAGTCATACGTGGACAAGTGTCTCTGCAGCCCTTTGTTCCCAAGTACGCCTGCTGTTGGACATTTTTTGAAATCCCAGTTAGGTTTCATGGGATACCCTACTTTGGACAGAGCTGGTGAATGCTACTTTCCAACTAATAACCGTCTGTGCACTCAGGTTCTTGTAAATGGCATACCGTTTCCTGGTGGCAGTCTCTTCAACCTGAAGAGCAAGCAGTGCTTCAGACTGGTGGAAGAATCATTTTTTCAGATTCCTTTCCAAGGTGGCAGTGGAATTCCTCCATAATGACTCTCATCAATATTACACCAATGCCCACATGCTCATCCTGGGGAGGTTCTTTTCACACACTTGTTGACAACTCCAAGGGGTTGTACTTTAAGTGGACTAAAGGCTTTAACGCCCACCCATGCTTTGTTTCTTTTAACACATTTTGCTTGGGCAATGATGTCCCGAGGGGATCCATGTCTTAATGACTGACTACATGTTTTAATACTGGATGGCTCGCAGTTAAGTCATGTCAGGACGTGTATGATACAAGGCAGGGCAACTTCTGCTGCTTGTCTCGGCGATGTTTCAATCATGGTCCTCCAATGTGAAGCAGCCTTGTATATGCCATACTGTTGGCAAAGCTCTGTTCCTTAGGGCTTGTCTACGCTACGATGTTGTCGACAAAACTTTTGTCTTTCACGGGTACTTAAAAAAGCCTCCCCCTTCCCCGCGAAAGACAAGTTTTGCCAACACAAGTGGCAGTGTGAACGCCCTCTCCTGCCGACAAAGCTAACGCCACTTGCAGGGCTGGAAGTATTTTGTCAGCAAACGTGCTGACAAAATACTGACAGAGAGCATTCACACCCGCTGACCTTTTAGCAACAAGGCTGTGTTGACACAGCCTTGTCACTAAAAGCTGCGTAGTGTAGACCAGCCCTTAGATTCATCTACTGTGAAGAAGAGTTATGTTGTTCTGCAGAACCTGCTTTGAAGTAAGGAGTGCTGTCCTGCACGCTCCAATCTTTGTGCTTAAGTATGTCCTATATATGTAATTGGCCAAAAATTTGGAGAGGTCTTTTGTCTGGATGTTCCTTAAGCCTCATGATTTTGGCTTGCCCATGAGTTGGAGGGCCTGGGGCTAAGCCAGTCCTGATTACAGGACATACCACACCTGGGTTGGATCAGATGATCCCAGGGTAAAAGGCAGCAGGAAGCTGCAGTGAGGGAACTGCAGCGTGAAGTTGCAGGGAAAGAGGGTCTTCAGTCATGGTCCCTCAGGATGGGACAGTTCCTTAGGAACCAAGGGCTAAGCACAGCTTAAACCTGGGTGGAAGATTGTTCATGTTTATTTGAGAACTTTGTTAATTTAATGAAAAACCCAACCCCCTAAGAAGGGCTGTGATTGAAAGAGACTGGAGTTTGTTGAAGGAGCCCTGGTGAAGGGGAAAACAGGAGTAGAACACAGCAGAGGTTTTCCTATCCACCAGGGGCACCCAGGTGGTGGCCAGCCCTTTTGTGGGGAGGTATTTTACTTCCTCCTTCAAAAACCACAAATAAATACAAACTTTTTGTTACATGCAGTGTTGACTTTGTGCCAGTCAGTGTTTATCGTTATACTCTTCACTGTGGGACATCCGTTGAGCTAGTCACTCTCCAGGACTGAGAGTCCTTCACAGATGGTCTTTTTAGAAAGAAGATAACCTACTTACTTTGGGATTCTACTTCTCTGAAGCCACTCTCACAGAGTGGCCAGAAGCCACTCTCACAGAGCCCCCCCAAGGGCTTGGGGATGTGAGTGATGGGGTTTACCTGTCCGTTACTTGCTCTGGAATAATCTTTTTTATATATATATATATATATATATATATATATATATATAGAGTCATTCACAAACATTTTAAAATGGAATTAGAGATCTAGAGGAGTTCTTGCTTCCCACTCTTGAAAGGAAATTATAGTGTGTTCTGGGTCCTCTGAGTGTAGAGTGTCTTCAGTAGGGCAGAGCCCGTGAGTCAGCCTGTAGGTGTCTGAGTTTAAAATATCTTGAGAAAGGGGCGGGGGGGGAGTTTTCTGCATGACTCTTAGAAGACCCAGGAGAGCAAAGCTAGGTAAGCGGATGTGATTCTGCTTCTCTTAAAATAAGGCAAATCCCCCTTTCCTTAGTTCTGCACCCTGAACTGTAAGAAATTGCTGTGGTGGCTCAGCATGAGCGAGGTGAGGAACTATGGAGATTGCCAACAAGGTGGAAAGAACTGTAGTTCCAAGTCCTTTACCGGCATTAACTAACTATGGTATAAAGGGTTCATGGCATAAGGGGGGGAAGGGATGGGGGAAAGGCCAGACTGTGGGAGAACACACTACATTGAGTGCATAGACACATGAGGGGTCTATGACCCTGAAAAAATTCCTACAAGGAAGCCTTTCAACTCCCTCCCAACGAATGACAAAATTCTCATTATTGGGTGTGGAGGTGTTAGAAGAAAAATAGACGCAATTTAATTCTTTTAAAGATGAGAATTATATCTGAGTTCTCTTGGCTATCAGTCCGATTCACTTCAACTAGAGTCAGTAGCCAAAAAAAAATCCAAAAAACCCTAAAGGATTCCTTAATTTGTGAACTGTTCCTTTGGCCCTGCATTTTAAATCCTGGGTTCCATTAGATTAGCTGGATGAAAATTAAGTCTACCAAATTTAAATGTTTAACAAGAGTTTCTCCCTTATGTACTACAATTTTTTTTTAAGTGAAGGTTTTGGTATGCTGAAAACTGTGTTCAAATTACAAGCTATCCCTTTCAGATTTTTAAGGGGCTTCCTGGTCCTGCTTGCAGGCTAGGGGGCTCTGTAGAGAAGTGTGTGATCTGGGCATGAAGCAGTCAGTCTGCAAAGAGCCAGCCTAGAGCAAGGTGGGGTGAGTTGTGCTGCTCTGCCATAGGAAGCTGTCTGCTCTGTGTGTGTCTGGTTTTGGCTCTTGTGTGTTGGGGTTCTTGATTCTAAGAAATAACATTGACTTTATGTTGCAACATTCCAGAAAGAGTATTTTATTTTTTAATCTAACTTTTCTGTGTGCCCACTGTGAATGTAACAGTGGTGTAGTGTCTTTTTTTTGTTTTTTGTTAAAGGAACGATCCATATTGGTAAAAATTCCATTGTCCGACTTTCTTAGTTGTGATCATACTCTCCTTATTTACATTCTGATTTTTCTTGTAGGGATTTCCTTCCACGAGGATCTGGAATTGTAACAAGGCGACCATTGGTTCTACAGCTTGTCACTGCCAAAACAGGTATTTTACCTGATGTATATCCCTCTTATAGAGTTCAGCATCAAAGTATTTTTACTTGAATGTTTTTTTTAAGTGTTATAAACCTGTCAGTGTGAGGGTTTACACCAGTCTTTTGAGTTGTAAACAGACTATTCAAAGTAGAGTTTGCCATGGGGAAGAAAGGTCCCAACACTGCAAACACTTACACACGTGCATGGTCCCATTGAGTTCATTGTCCCATCTGGGTCATAGTCTGTAATAATTTTGGGTAAACTTTAGAGCGTGCCATATTTTCAAGTAGCTATTGGTTGCTTTTAATGGCTAAACGTGAAAAGTAGAAAAAAAAAGTATATTATGTACTAGTTATTTTAGAGAAAAAGAATTACCTTTAAATGTTAGATTAGATATGTTTGTTCTCAGTAACCCGTAAAATTAGGTTTAACAAAATAACACATAACCAAAATGGACATACAGGGACTTCAGTTTTGCTCTCCAGGGCAGTCAGTGGTGGTTGCAAACAGCCTGTTTCCTCCAGTAACTTTTCCATGTCATGAGTTGTGGAAATTTCTGGAGAAGGGCAAAGTTGGCAGTAATAGAAGTTCCTGAATCAAAAAAATTATCTGACCAAAAATTATACTCTATCTTGGACACAATATTGTGTATGCAAAACTGAATGTATTTGTCAGCATTCGTTAACTTATGCTTATCTAAATGGACTTTCATCTGCTATTGTGCTGTCCAATCTCCCACTGTGTTCAAAGCCATCTGGTACTTCTCATAATCCCACTGGTTTTTAATAGCCAAAACATAGTGTGTTCAGTAATCTTCACTAGCTTGGTCTTGACTTAAGCCTTAAATTGCTAAAATATGGTAAATAAAAACAAACACTACATTAAAAGAGTGTTCAGGTGGCAAAGGCAAGCACTCAGAAGTTAAGAAATGCCAGAATTAAAGTTGTTGGTGCAACCTTAATTTAGTTCGCTTGTGTGAGTGCATTATTACAGAGTCTTGAATTACTTGATCAGATACTACCTTTCCACAGGATCCCTGCCTCATTCAGTGAATGGGTTATTATTCAAAATTTCTTTTTATCTTCCTTGTTCATTGTGTAGTCTGTGCTGAGTGTTATTTATTATTAAGTTCCTCAGTGGTGTGCTTCATAAACGTTAATGAGTTTATCTGCACAACACCATTGGGATATTGGGCGATTTTATTATCCACGTTTTACAGAAAGGAAAAAGGTAAACAAATACAATTGTGCAACTGTATCATCCCTACCATGATCCTCAGCAAAGTATGAGCCATGAATGTTCAGCTCTGCAGCAGACTTCTACCACTTGTGCTATAGGACAACCAGCTACAGTAGCTGGTATCTGAAAAGGGGTGGAGGGAATGGGCCGTGTGCAGGGTGCTTGGGTGGAGGACAGCCCAGCATGCCCTAGAGAAAAATTGAGGGATCCCCTGTGCCCCCTAGCCAATCCTTCATATTCCCTGGGGGGGGCATGCCCCTGTCTTTTGGGAAATGCTGGCCTATTTATTAATTTTTCATTGTTATACAATAAGACTTTGCTCCTTTTTCGCTTGTGGGTTTTTTTTTTTTTTTAAAGAAACTTCAAGTAAATTGGATCCCCTGGGTCACCTTTATCTATTTCCCCAATTTAAAAAATAAAGAACCCACAGTTGTTGTAGGTTAGAGAAGCACAATTTTCTCTGACAGGAGCTGTGCAGGTTTGATCTTATCAAGTTTATACTTACCTGACTGTTGGGAAATCTAATTAAAGATAGACTAGTACAACAGTTTCCCCAGTACTATGAAGAGACTCTCCAACTTGTAGTCCTAGGATCTTTCCTGGCTCCTTTTCTATTAAAGTGGAATAAGTTTTTTAAAAAAAAAAAACCTACAATGGGGTGGTGCCATGGTTCTTGGGATACCCAGGACTGAGAGTCCCCTTGTTACCCCCTGCAGCCCCTCAGAGGCTTGGTTGTGTTTAACTGGGTGTTAGTTCCCTTACACCACCAGTCTGTTAGCCACTCAAGCAGTCTGCAAGCCCTTACTTTGTCTTGCAGGTTAACAATAGGTGCATCCCAGTCCTGATCCCCTTCAAAGCATCCCCTGTAGTGTCTAGCCCCTTATTCACTGAACACTCAGAGAAATACCACATCTGCTGTCCCCAAGGGAATAGTGTACACACCAGCTTGTATGATTCAACTCAGGATCCTCACTTAGCTTAATACCAGAGCATTGAGGTATATTTACAGTGAAAACCACAATAAGTTGATTGTCAAAGATTCAAGAGACAGTGAGTAAGGATAACTGAAACAGGTTAGATATAAAACAAAATCATAACATGCTTTCTAGAGGCTAAACTTAATTTAACAGGCTAACCTTCTGTCTAAAGGCGTTTATCTTACCCCCCGAGTCCTTTGCAGTGTTTTCAACCCAGGTTGGTTGAGATTCTGTTTTCATGAATATAAACATGCTGTCCGTTTTCTTCCTAGGTGCAGAATGGTGGGATGTCTTTGTTCCCCATTTATATAGTCCAGCCAATGTTTCAAGCCTATTGCAAGATAAGGTTCTCTTCCTTCATTGTGTGCTCTTTCTGTTGACTTCATAGCTCTCTGACTCTGTATGCAAATGTGCCATTGTGAGCCTGGCTTTCATTTAAGACCTCACATGAGATTCTTTGATTAACCAGAATGTACATACTAGTGTCAGGATATTCTTGTAACCCCCTTGGCAGCTGGGTCACAGGTGAGGGACACCTTTCTTAATATTGTCAAGGGGAAGGAGACTATATGTGTGAGTATAAGAGGGTATTAGCAACTCATTTTGATTTGTGAAGTTGGGGGGCTTCTCAGGTGTTGAGGGGTTGGTAGATGGCGCTAAGGGCTAGGGATGGGATTGGACTGGGGGCAGATGGCAAAAGAGGTTGAGGGTTTGGCAGCTCAGGTGTTGTTGCACACTAGAGCTGCTTGCAAACTTTGGCAACTGGGGACATGTTGTGGAAGGGTACAGGAGGATTTGGCCACTGCGGGGTGTCCTAGACATTGTTATAGGATGGTCTGGCATTTGTATGGGAAGGGATGGATCTTGTGTGTCGGCTTGAAAGGCAGTGGGCTAGGTGTTTAAAATGAAATACTTCAATAATGTAGAGATATAGCTGGTGGAAGACTTACTTTTAAGTGGGTTTTTCTGTGCTTCCTCTTTTAAAAGCAGTCTTGGCAATTACCTGGATATAGTGTAGTGATCCATTGTGGTCTTGCTGTTTAGTCAGATTGATAATTTTATGGTGGGAACAGAGGTTAGTTTAAGTATTGCTCATATATCACATCTTATGCCCCTAGTACTCCCATAGCTATATAAATCCTGTATTCTCTTACAGCCTCAGGCATGAAGAAAAAGCCTTTCATTAAACATTGTGAGTGACATGAGAGCTCTTAAGCAGCTGGCATTTTCTCTTGACCAAGTCTGATGATGTCAGCAATATCTGGGGGTGTTTTGTCAGGAGAAGTAAAAATCTGGATGTCTTGGGTGATCTTACAATTGAAAGGAAAGTTCTGCTAGAATTGTTCTGATTTATGAGACTCGTATCAGGGCTGCCCAGCTGGTTTTGAACTGTAGTTGCAAACAAAGTGGGCTGCATTTGTAAATATATTCTATACTACACCAGCTTCTCCAAAAAAACGACAGTCTTGTAAATGTCCAGAGACTCATCAAATGCTCTGTGCTGGCCACGAGAGAGATTTAATATTCATTGCATGTACAGCATATGGACTCTTGAGAGACTATAGATAAAGTCAAACACATTACTCTCAAGCCAAGTCAACAGCTCATGTTTTAAGTGAAGTGCTTTGCCTTTTTCGAGCAGAGTGATGGAATATGTGACACTTTAAAAACGTTGCTTAAAAGTTGTACCAAATGGACATGCACAGCCTTTGTTCTGTGGTCAGCACAACCTAGTCTTTATTTAGCTTTGGTTACCATTATTCTTAATGAAAATACTACATTATGAATGCATGGTGAACAATGCTTTTGTGTCCTATCTCTTTGGAAGCTGTTAGTGAGTGAAAACAAATACAGGTGTCCTCATAGTACTGTGAGTGAGACTTTATATTTAGTGGTGAATGGACTTATTTTGGTATGTATTATGGTGGCCACCATTATTACAGGCTTCTTTGAGCATTGCCTGAACTGATCCCTACACTGGGTGATGTGTGCACTTCAGCGCACAAGCTCAGAAGTTTCTGGGTAAATGTCCATTGGGGTGTGTGTACATCCTATTTGTTTCCTTGAAGTACAAGGACAGTTTTTTCTGACTGCCACATACATTGAGCGGAAACTTGGTGGTTTTGTGTTGCTACCCCTGTTCGTCCATTACAGAAACCTTTGTCCCTTCGAGACTTCTGCTCCTAGATGCAGTGATGGCTCTTCAGAGCCTAGAAAGACAAGGTGCAAATGGAACCATGAGAATATCTGACACTGTGACTGACCCAGGGCCAGGACAGCTCTGGCATTGGGCAGTTCCTGAATATCAGGAATGTTTTCTGTGCCAGGGACCCTTGGGAGCTTAGCTTTCAGGTGTGTCAGGGCTGAGTGCCTTGGCATTGGGTCTGTTGTTTTAATTTCCTTCATTGCTGTGTACCATGTTGTTGGGTTCTGTAGTGTCAGGAGGAAGTCTTCTATGCCAGATGCTTCAGCATCACCTGTTTGGGTACTTATGGTCTTGGATGTAGGGTTGGTTACTAACTTTTCCAGTTCCTCCTTTACCACCTTTCTGCCTATTCTTCTATGGTTCTGGTCAGCTCAAAACAGATGGGGCATTGTCTTTTTCACAGGACAGGTCCTTGTGTTTTGGTCCAAGCAATGGTGTGCTATCCAGGGCCTGGTCTCCTATTGCTTTTGCCAATGCTTTGCTCTGCTCCAGTACTTTTTTAGAAGCATCTATTAGACCACACACATTGGTTTATAATGACCACAGATGGCAGTCTTTGGGTAGTTTAGGGTGCTGAATGATCTAGAA